CTGGTAACCTCGCTCACACGGCGAAACCCATGGCTGTGGTTATTTCACGCCGGTATTCATAATTCATCGTGTTATGTGTGTATGCAATTAATGTAATGTAATGTAATGTAATTAATTAAGAAAACCTCTAAATAAGCTTATTACAAGAAGTATACCTATTTTTGGACATAAAAATGATGAAGGAAGGAGTTACAAAGAACAAAACACCTTGCCAACTAAAAAAAAAATATTTCCGCCCTCACAAGGGCCGCACCTCAAAAACAATCACATGATCACCGCGTCACCTGAACGACCGTCATACGACATATTTCGTACTACACTATGACCGATGCAATCCAACGCATCTTGAGAGCTATTTATATACCAACGTTACATAATGAGACAGTAACACATGCAACTGTCGTGGCTAGAGATAGGAGGAAATAGAATCTATCAGCTGATTGGCAATGAACTACTTTATCACTACATAAGTGGGATTAATGTGATTTTCGTATCTGCGTGCGTGCGAAATGCTTATAACTACATAGTATATAAAACAAAGTCGCCTTCCCTGTCCCTATAGTCAAAGCCAAAGTTTTTATTTGCAAACTAAGTGTTATCCATCCCTATGTGTGTACGCTTAAATCTTTAATACTACGTAACGGATTTTGATGCAGTAATTTTAATAGATAGTGTGATTCAAGACGAAGGCTTTTATGTATAATAAAATCCTTAAATAGTAAACTAGCTACTCTCGCGCGGTTCACCCGCTGCTCGGCTCCATTTAATCGTAGCGTGATGTTTTAGCCTTAGCCTATAGCACTCAGGAACATTGTAGCTATCTATCAGTGAAAGAATTTTGGAAATCCGACCAGCGGTTCCAAAGATTACCCCCTACATACAAACTTACAAATTTAACCTCTTTATAATATTAGTATAGATGAATATGACTATGAATTTAGCATTGCACCTATGGCGAAGGCAGAGCGAATCACTAGTTATTTAATAATTATTTCATCATCAGAAGAATTGAATATGTCTAATGAGCCCAAAATCGATTTATTGATATATTTTTTATTAGTAAACATATCGATTCAATAGGTATTCAAACAGAGACTGTCAGCTATTTAGTTAGTAGCAAAATATTTAAAGAATGAGTAAGTTTACGTTTGAAAAATGATATTTTAACTTTAAATGGCGCCTTCCACTGCTGAATTTTAATAACATAATTTAAATTGATTAATTAATTATGAAAATTTATTCGTGTTTATTTTTAATGGCGTCAATAAGTTCAATGTTAGTGGCCTACGTGATTCTAATAAATTAATAGGAAAATAAGTTGTAGCAAAACAATTAATAAAAGATTACGTGATAGAAGCAATCGATGAAGCCCATAGACAATCGGCAACACCAAAGGAGTAACGAGTCTATTGCCGGCCTTTTTGGGGATAAGGGTATCGGATATTTAAGGATTGGGAAGGGATGAGGGAAGGGGGAGGTATAGAGCCTCCGGTAACCTCATTCATACGGCGAGTCACAACGTTGTGGTTATTTCACGTCGGTTTTCTATGAGCCCGTGGTGTCACTGAGCCGACCCATTCGTGCCGAAGCTTAGCTCTCTCACATAGTACTTATAGTACATATATTAAATGAACATACAGAAACAGCTTGCATTAGTAAGTTAATTTAAAAGTTTTAAAGATATAGTGTCAGTCTGTCGGTCAGTCCTCTTAGTGAAGCTATTTGCTCGTTCCAAAGTGTAGATTCCGATAGAGAAGAACGAGCAAGAAACTCCATGGTTACTCTTTTTAAATGAGTTAAGGACCTGAAAACGAGTGATTATTGTGTTATGTCTAGCGTCGCATACCGTACGTACTGAATGTTAGCCTCCTACGTTTTTTTTTTTTGTGAGGGGAAAATCATCAAATGATTTCTCCCGCCCAGGGCCGGGCGGGAGGGAGTGTCAGACTCTTACTGACTAAAAACCCCTGTTCCTTCTCATGCACTGGCCCGAGGTCGCGGTGCCTCATTGCGCTTACCCCGCAACCCCGGCTGAACATCAGCCCTATGGGGCCCCGTCTGTGTCTATTAGCTCTTTAATGCGCGCGCGGAACGCTACACGCCTTACGCTCGGGTTCCTACGTAAGATGTTAACATAATATATAACCAGCTAGGTGCCTGCGGCCCGGAAAAATATTTTTGTCGTAAAATACCTGAACTGTTTAATAACTTATCATACGAAAATGAAACGTTTGCCCAGTTGTTATGGATTTGGAACTAAATAAACAGTTTTGCACCTCTCATTAATTACTTACTTATACATTATTAATTAGTTATGGCTGTTAAGGCTAGGTTCATTTATTTCCATCAGTATTTAAGTCACAAGTAAGTCGTAACTTATTAAATATTGTTACAATGGCAGTGACCGTTATAGTAATGGTCAGGAATGGTCTCCGGTAACTTCACTCCTATGGAGAATCATATCGCAAGTTTTATTTCACACTAGTACCTACGTTTTAAAGCCTACAGCCTTCCTTGATACATTGACTATCGATCACAAAAATATTTGTTCAATTCGAACTTAGTTTTCGAATTAGTTGTTACAATCCGAACTTAATATTATAAATGTAAAAGTAACTCTGTCTGTCTGTCTGTCTTTTCTTCATGCCTAAACCACTGAACCGATTTCTGTGAAATTTGGCATAGACATAGTTTGGAACTCGACAAAGGACATAGGAGGAGTCGCAGTCGAGTCTTTATATATATAATTCGTCTGTACGTGTGTATATCATTGAACACCTCCTAAACGGCTAGACCGATTTGAATGAATTTATTTGTATGCGTTTGAGTGGCGCCCTGGATGGTTTAGATTAGCGACGCTAAGGCAATGGAGTTCACTAGGTCAGCTAGTATTAGTATAGATTTATCGACGAAAGACTCTTACAGGAACTTAAACGAATATCGAATCCGGCCTTAAGATAGGTTTTTTTTTTTTTTTGTGAGGGGAAAATCATCAAATGACTTCTCCCGCCCAGGGCCGGGCAGGAGGGAGTGTCAGACTCTTACTGACTAAAAACCCCCCTGTTCCTTCTCCTGCTCTGTGCCGAGGTCGCGGTACCTTATTGCGCTTACCCCGCAACCCCGGCTGAACATCAGCCCTTTAGGGCCCCGTCTGTGGTGGTCTATTGGCTCTTTGAGGCGCGCGCGGAACGCTACGCGCCGTACGCTCGGGCCTGGTTCTGGTCGGGCGGCGAGCTGCCCTTACTCGCCGACCGCAGGCCCGTACTTACGGTGGCCGGAGATCGTTCCTCGATCCCCGACGCCCGTAGTGTCGCCAGTTGCGGCTGCTGGGGCGTGAGGAGGAGGATTGCTCCCTCACGCGGGCCGCCTCTCTCTTTGCGAGCATGACTGCTTCACAAAAGGAGGAGACGGCGTCCCAGTTCCTCTCACACCGCACCATGGCCTCGACTAAGGCCGGGCGCGAGAGGTCGCCGCCGCCGATCACTTCCCTGAGGATACGGCGGTGCTCAGCCCAGGCAGGGCATACCGCTACCGTATGCTCCACCGTATCCTCTAGGTGGTCCTCACAATGACGACACTCGGGCGTTTCCTCCCGCTGAATCCGAAACCTACCGAAGCTGCCGTGCCCGGTAAGCACCTGCGTCAGACGGAAGGTGAGGACGCCGTGGCGTCTCTCAAGCCACTCCTCAAAGAGGGGTCTTACCGCTGCTATGGTAGCGTGCCCGGCCCTCGGTTGCGACAGTCGTTGTCTCCACTCTGCCATGAGATCTCGCCGGAGCTCATTCCGCCACGCACTAATTTGGCGCGGCAGAGGATCTTCGCCCCGGCGACGCGCGTCTGCGCGCAAACTGTAGACGCGCGCGAGCGCCTTCGCTTCTAGATCCCACGGCGGTGATCCGGCAAGGAGGTTCGCCGCCTCCCCGGAGATCGTGCGATACCCGCGGATTACTCGTATAGCCATGACCCTCTGGGACGCGACCAGCGTACGAGCCGGCCGCCGCTTCAAGTCCGGCGCCCACACAGGGGCACCGTAGAGGGCCATGGATCGCACAATCCCCATATACAACCTCCGGCAGGAGGCGTTTGGCCCCCCGAGGTTGGGAAGGAGCCGCTTGAGCGCGGCCCCAGACCGTTCCAACTTAGGGGCCAAACGACGAAAATGCTCCGTGAAGTTCCATCGGCTGTCGAGGACGAGACCCAGGTACTTCATCGCCGACTCGACGCCGATGGTAACTCCTCCTGCCGTTACTTGGGACCCACCTGGAGGTGGCGCGCTCCGACGGCCATAGAAGCACATGGCCTCGGACTTGTGGAGCGCCACCTCGAGTCCCAACTGCCGGATCCTTGCAACGACTGTCGCAACCGCTTGTGACATCAGGTCGGCCGCCGCCTGATGTGACCTCCCGTTCGCCAGCACCAGCGTGTCGTCAGCATAGCAGACAATGCTGACGCCGCTCGGGAGGTCGGTGCGTAGCACCCAATCGTACCCGATGTTCCACAGGAGAGGTCCCAGGACCGATCCCTGTGGGACACCGCGCGACACCTCTCGCCGATTCCACACGCCCCGGTGACCGGGGTAGATGACACATCTGTCCGTCAAGTAAGCCTCGACTACACGACGGAGATAGGCAGGCACCCGGTGGTACCGGAGTGCCTCCAAAATGCAGCTCCAGGGCAGCGAGTTAAGGCCTTAAGATAGGTAAAGATTAAATTTTAGCTTAATAAGTAACCGGGATGTGGATCCAAGGAAATTGAGCATTTATGGTTTCGCTTTTTGAACAAAACCAAATATCCATTTTTTTTTAATGTTTGTCAATAACCCTAACCAGGGTCCAATTTTCACTACTATACTCTGCCAGAAAAGAGCGCACCCGATTGCCATAATAACATTCAATCTCCTACAATTTGCAATATTCTATTACAAGTTAACGGACAAACGCAACACCGAGACAGGAGCAAATAGGCTAAGACCCAAAAAAAATAATAAACAAAATCCTTACCTCATATCAGGCGAGAAGTCCACAGAACACGCGTACCCAGCCACCATGTGACCGCTAAACGTCTTTTTCCTGTTCATCTTGAATCTGTTGAGAGCGCTGAAGACGATCACTTTGTTGTCCATTGACTGGCAGGCTAGCCATTTGCCGTTAGGTGAAACGGTCACAGCCGGCAATGAATGCATTGACGGATCTGCTATGTATTTCATGTCAACTGGTATGTCCCTGGGGAAAATTGAAAAAAGGTGTACTTGTAGTTTTAGTCAGTTGAAGTGTGAAGATAACTAGTAGTAGGTGATATAAGTTATCTTGACACTACACCACAATGCTTGAATGTATCATACAAACACAGTACAAGATTGTAAAGGAACTTAAAAAAAAAATTAAGAAAGGACACAAATTTTTAAAGCCCCTAGAATAATAAACAGGACTCTTCAGTATATCAAAACTATTATTATAATACAACAAAATAACATTAGTTTTTGTATTTAGAATTGAAGGTAGGTGAGAATAAGATTCAAAATTCAAAACCTGACTCAATGGTTTAAACCTAGACTAAATACAAATCTTATTTTGTTTGTCTGTCCATAATGTTTTTCAATAAATTCTCTTTTTGTTATTTTTTTTATTCCATATGTCCAAAAAAGCCATCTACCTTTTCACAAAATTATGTAAAAACATTTAAACAGAAGCATCATCAAATACAGAGATAAAAATAATACTGAGCTTCCACACTAGGCAGTATGTGCTAGTTGTCTTTGCGTGTTAAAATAAATAAATCACAAGGAGATTTTCTATTGAAACTTTTTCTTTCAAATATAGCGCCGCCAATGGGTTTGGCGGGTAACCAATATTTTTTTAAATGGCGAACACTTTTAATCCTTTCTTAACCTTTCGTGCTGAAACGAAAGATATAATTGTAAAAGTGATTCTTTTTGGTACATCCACAGTTCAGTATCATTTGTGTTTGATATAATATCTTTAGTATTAGAATCTTTTTGTTTAAAACCTTAATTACTGTTAAAATCTTTAATAATACTATTAATTGGTGTTTCAAATGCCTTCATTAAATCTACTTTATAACCATTATTTTGATTTGTAATTTAAACACCAATTTAAAACTATGTAGAAATGTAATCAAATATAAAGGTTCTTCACATATGGCAACTAAAATAACTCTTGAAGAAAATTTTTTTCTACCTTCAAGTTATTCGAAACATTTTCTACCAAAGTACTTAGTTATTTGTGTTAAATATGCATGCAACCTAGATCACCTACTTCTCTATTCTTAGTTGCTATCTAAAACCTATCTACCGTATTACAACATTATTTTATTCCATAGAATGCTGTTTTAATTTGAATAAATTATCCATCTGCCCGTTTACCAACGCGTCCCATACAAATTCTAGCAATTTATTTATAAAACTATCAAGTTGTTACATTACCTACAATTCAAAACAAGATTTTAGCAGTCTATAAAAATAAATAACAAAATTAACATACAATGACCAACACATCATGACAAGGCAGATTCACGCTGCTATCACTGTGACACTACAAAATGTTATTTATAAATACCGTCTACTTGTATCTCATATTAAAAATCGCATGTTTTTAGTTAGGATAGTCATCCTGACAGAACAGAACTGGGTATCTTAACTTTGAAATCGTTGCTAGTGCAAACACTATAATATACCGTATCGTGACCGCCGCCCGAAACAGGAGAAGGAACGGAATGGTTTTAGGTCAGTACGAGTAACACGACCTCAGGCCCATGGTACGGCACGTCGCGTTCTGCGCGCGCCTAAAAGAGCCAATAGACCACTACAGATGGAGCCGGGGCAAGCGCAATAAATCACCGCAGCCTCTGCCTAAAGCAGAAGGAACGGGGGTTTTTTAGTCAGTGAGAGACTGACACTCCCCCTGCCCCACCCTAAGCGGGAGAAGTCATTTGACGATTTTCCCGACAAAAAAGGGCCGTGAAAAGTAACCGATTAATTTATCCCTGCTCAAAAATATATGATGAATTAAAAAAAATGCGAGGATGTGACTAAGTAACAGAAAAGTCCAAAAATTCTTTAAACTTTGGTATGAGTTGTAAGACTTATTTAAATGATAGACATGTTTTATCACCTCCATCCACGTAAGCAATCGGCGCCGCCCATGTACACCACTTTAGGGGGTTAATGATCGAGAGATGATCTCCGGCCACCTAGAGCGCGGGTCTGCGGTCGGCGAGTAAGGGCAGCTCGCCGCCCGACCAGAACCAGGCCCGAGCGTACGGCGCGTAGCCTTCCGCGCGCGCCTCAAAGAGCCGGGGTAAGCGCAACTGGAGCACAGCTGGACCGAGGTCGCGGTGCGTCACCGCGACCTCGGTCCAGAGCAGGAGAAGGAACGGGGGGTTTTTAATCAGTAAGAGTCAGACACTCCTTCCCGCCCTACCCTGGGCGGGAGAAGACATTTGATTATTATCCCCTCACAAAATAAAAAAGGGGGGTTAATGATATGAGGTTTGGGGTATTAGGAATGGAAGCGGATTAGTAAAATAATGAGCCATAGGTAACCTCCAACGATAAGCAACTGGTTCAGGCCGTGGTATGACTCCGGTCGAGCGGATATCTTGGTCAAATGCTTCCTAATTAAAATTGGACCACTGGTTTTCTTGGAGGTGGTGGTATCAACTGTGGTCAAGTGGGGTGGTGTGAGATATCTTCCCCATTTGCTACCTAATTAATAATCGGAGATATAACTCACCACTCCCAAACACGCAGACTCTTGTCGTCGGAGGTGGTGACGAAGCGTCGATTGTCGTCCACGAAGGTGATGGTATTGACGGCCCCGAGGTGCCGGTCGTATTCTTGTACTATCTCACCGCTACGGATATCCCACTGTCGAAGAGACAAAAGCGCAAATCAATGTGAATGTCATTATAACTAGCTATTTTAGATCATTATCTATACTAATATTATAAAGAGGTAAAATTTGTAAGTTTTTATGTTTGTAAGTTTGTATGTAGGCAACGTGTTTAGTACACGTACAAAAAATATATAAAAAACAAGATTGTAGTATAAGACTTCAGCTCAGTAAATTTTTAAATGGGTTTCTTCATTAAATCAAAACCAATGATGGCACCCTTAAGCATATAAAAATAATTTCATGTGTAATTTATATTAAGTTTTAGATAGCGCTTTACTTTTATTTTATACAATTTGGGAGAGCCTTGCTTCGGCATGAATGAGCCCAATTTCCTCCCCCTTTATGCCGAAGTCCCGCAGTCCTCGGCAGAAAGCGCAATGAGTCACCGCGGCCTCCGCCTAGAGCAGGAGAAGGAACGGGGAGGGTTTTAGTCAGTAAGAGTCTGACACTCCCTCTCGCCTTACCCTGGGTGGGAGAAGTCATTTGATCACTTTCCACTGACAAAAAACCAAAACCCATCCTAAATCCTCAAATCCCCTATCCTTAAATCCCTAATAGCCCACAAGAGGCCGTCAGCTAACGTGTAGTAACTCCTTTGGACATGGACGTCGCTGATTGCTTACCATCAGGTAATCCGTCTGATCGTTTGCCGACCGATCATCATTCACAGATTAAGCTGAAAAAAAAAAAAAAACTAATTACATAACATAGAAACTTACACAAATAATCTTTTTGTCGGAAGTACCGGCTACAAATAGGTGCTGCTTATCCTCGTCTGGGTTGAACTTGGCGCAATATGTCACCTTCCGGGATGTGAACCGAGATATACACTCGCCAGTCTCCGTGTCCCAGAGCTTTATGTAACGATCGTACGCTGAAACGGAATCATTACATGTTAACTGTACTTCATATCATCACATCATCAGCCTATAAGTGCCCACTGCTGAACAAAGGCCTCTTTTCACACGGAGAAGGTTTTAGCATTAATCACCACCAAGGCGGCGTGGTGATTTTTAACTTAGTAAGTCCTGGTGTCTCTCACACACAATATTTTCCTATAAGTACTGTTTGTCAGTTTTGTCTAAATACAGTAAGAAAGTACATATGATTTAAAAAAAATCACAATGGTGAGTACGTGCCAGGTTTCGAACAAGCACTCTCCCTAAGAGAACTCACATTCATAACAAAGCCGAAGACAAAGTTTTTTTCAATAGAACCAATAAAACACTTTCGAAATACAATCAAGATACTTACCGCCGGTTTCCGAAAGGCCGATCAATGTTAAAATCAATTTAATCTTTTGTCAAGTCATCTGATTGGTTGACTGAATTATCAACAACCAATCAGATGACAAGAGATTTAACAGGAGATTAGTTAATTTTAGCGTTGACAAGCCTTTCAGAAACCAGGTGTTAATCTTGTTATATAAAAAGGACATGGCCAAAAAAGTACATTCCACGTACACGAACAAAATTAATACACTGTAAAATACAAATAGAAATATGAATTATTACGTAGTTTTTAGCCTCTCCAGACCTGACAATTATTATTAAAAAAATGTAAAAGTAATGCAACAAAATCAACTTATCGTTTGTCAAGTTTCGCCATTATAGTCCATAGAGAAAGATAAATAAAAAGACGTTCCAATTCCAAACCACGTGTCTTAAACTACACTCGTAGAAAACGTGTGATATGATCGACAAATGCGTTACACTAGGAACATTTTATTCATACGAAACTGTATTCATTGGTTTTAGTTGCATTTTGAAATATACTCATATTATAATAATATTATGTTTTAATTTTTATCCAATTCACAAAAAAAAAACTTAAACGAAACGGAACGTGTTTGACACTTTTGACAGATGTTTTTGTAGTAACTGTTTTGCGTTTTGGATTTGTTTTGTGGATTACGATGAGGTGCATCAACTGCGGAATAAACAAACAAAGGCTGCAGAGGCGCCTTATATCCTCGCTTTCTGCACACCATCAAACAAAACTTTCACGTTGGTTAACCAGCTCAAACCCAGGTATGAAGTCGGAATAGTATAATAATTCGTCTGTTTTTTATGTTTTATCATGGTATGCGATTTTAAATAGTGCATCTTTTTTTTTAGTTGCCTCTGGGGACATTCATTTGTCAACCACGCTTCTTATTATTGAATACTGAGGCTGGTGAACATGAGAGACTACTGGGGCATAACATGGCTTGCCTTGGTTGTGGAAAATCGGTTCGAAAAATAAGACACCATAATGTCAGTATGGAATCTCCATTGCTAGCTGGCCTAATATCACAAAATACTATTAATAAGGTAAGCATTTTGTTTTTTATTCATTGTTTTATATATGTACTTGTATTTATCTATATTAATCTATAAAAAAGTACTCATAGTAGGTATGTGTGATTATAACATCTATCTTTATGTATTTTCCATGTTTGCATAGACTTCTTTAAAATAGGCATGTTGTAACATAATACTTACGTACAATAACATAAAACTTGAAAACATGTGTTTATTCTAACTGGGGTTTATTTTCAGACCTCAAGAAGCAACTATATTTGTCATGAGTGCTGTATGCGGGCAAATAGACAGACAGTGCAGGACTTATCACGAAACTTGCAGGAGTTGGGTTCGAACAACAATGCAGCAGCCCCTTATATTCAAGTGGTTAGCCCACCAGAGCCACCACCATTACCACCTGTTTTAAGCAGGCCGCTTCAAATGGAAAGTACTAACATATTACTACCCAATTATACAGAATATATATTACAGAAACGTACATCCCATACACAAACATAATAAAATACACTTTATAATATAAATATAAAAGTGAATTATTACGTAGTTTTATTTTATTTATTCTCCTTAATAAATAAATAATTATTCTTTATACATATTCTTTTGTTTTATATTTTAAATAAATAAATAAATAATTAAAACGCCATGGTTTTTAAAAGCAAAATCTTATTTCGTGCACTTATGGCCAGTAATCTGACTAAAGGTTTAGTGAAACTATTTTCGTCTTGTTTGTTATAATTACGAGTTCTTCATGTGTTTTATTTTTTGCAATTTAATTTAATAATATTCACGAATGTAAACACCAAAAATCATTGATGTACATTGAATTCAATAACTATGCAAACGCCCATACAAAAGTTGGCCATGTCCTTTATCCTAATTTATTTTGGTCATGGCATCACGTATAAAAAAGGCTAGACCGATTCCAATAATGTTTTTTATGCTGTTTAAAGGCAAAAAGAAGAAAATTTTAGTAAAAAGTTGGAGAGTAACAACCTTTTCAATGCTGTAACCGTAATTAAAGACGCATGCGTAGCAATGGCGGGCCACTAGTTTTAAAATATTATTGTCTGTCAATCAATCTCCCTGAGGGGGGAAAATTATCAAATTATTTCACCACCACCCAGAGCTGGGGGAGTGTCGGACTCCTACTAAGAGACCTCTAGAACAAATTCTTTGGTTGTTCCAAAGCGTAAAATGAGCAATAAAAATTTATTAAAATATTGAAGAACAAAATTAAATGATGAAAAACTAACCTGCAGATAGGAATTTATCCCCAGTATTATTAAAGTTGACATCTCTTACAGCTTGCCGATGTCCAAAGTACGTCCGTATACAACGACGTTCGCCGTACACTTCCCAAATCTGTAGGGATTTAGTAAACAACAATTAATGAGACTTAGGGTTGATATTTCAATATCCAAATAAATGTTATTTGAGGAATAAAATTGTTACTGTCACTGTTTTAGGCAAACATTTTGACGCGACAGCATGATAATTATTCCCCAGATAACTTTTATGTAACCATTGAAAAATCAGCCTTACAAACTATCCTCTAATTAACAATTGTTACTGTCTGTTTCACCATCATCATATAAGAGTAGTACTCTTCTACCAATATTGTAGGTTCTTGGTTAATTTTAAATTGTGTTGAGTTGCAGATATTATAGACAGTAATTTAAAAAAGTGAGTCTAAAAGTCATTCAAATTCATTCCTTCTTAATTTTTTATTTTATATTTTGTAGTATTAAAGTCAATACAATTTCATTCCGAATTAACCTCCGATGTAGCTTCATGTAGTAACAAATCATTTTACCTTGACTCTACAGTCCATGCCAGCAGATAGCATAAGATGCGCAGTGCCGGGGAACCAGCGGACGGCCGCCACACCCTTCGTGTGGCCCTTCCACGTGAAAATATGTGCCTGGAAACAACAATATCGTGTTAAATAATATATGTTTTATATGGTTGGACCCAAAATGCATCCCTTAGGAACTCCTTTTATAAAAACATGTTTAGTTAAATTATCTTTTAATCACTTCGCGCTGATTACTGTGCTTTCAGTCGGGGAATAGGCACCTGTTGCTAGATTCGGGTAAATTAAACGTGACTTCCCCCAACCTTCATTCACTCTAGCCAATAGTGAAAGCCTTATAAATAAAATGTTATCAGAAGCTTTACGCTTAGCCGCGATTTTCTTTGCCGTGGCCGTTACAATTTAATATTTAACGCGTTAAATAGATCCAGTATGCATTCTACTCTTATTTTAAATGTATGTATATATTATTGCACGTACCTTAGGCAAGAAGCACTTGTCGGGCGGTGTATCGCTACGCAACTGTGTTTCACTACGCGGTGGAGCAATCCACGACCTGCCCTGGTAGTCCGTCGCATTGTCGACTGAAATAAATATAAAAAAGTATGTTGAAATATTGGAAACTACGTAAATATGAAACAAGAATGTCAGACACACAATAATGAAATTAATGTTGATCTACTATGTGGTAAACAGGAAAGGGGGTGCACCCCAGTCCACAAAAAATGATGAGATGGTGTTCGGTAGCCAAGTTTAGCTCAATAGAACTGAAAACTATTTCCGAGATATAGATTCTGGAGAACCTTCATCTCATAATTTGTTTACAGACAACAAAAAATCTTTTGAGTCTGTTCTCCTACAGGAAGAGTATTTAACACTCAGATATTAATATTTTAGCCGTGTGATTTCAAAAGGTGGCCATATTAAAATGTCAGCCGAATGCATCTGGAGAGTTGGGCCACTATTGTCACCCACTGGACACCTTAGGGTGGACGTCGCAAGCAGGGTAGCTGAAGAGATGGCGTGTCGATCTAGACGCGTATCATCGAGACTGGTTGACACGGTCGAAGGATCGGGAGGTGTGGAAGCGAGATGAGGAGGCCTTTGCCCTGCAGTGGGACACAATAGGCAAGCAGAAGTAGTAGTAGTAGATTTCTGACTGCAGCAGCTCTACATCATCAGCTTTACATTAACAATAATGTATATTGACAAAAATGCATTACTAATATCAACTAGGTAGTGTAAATAAAACATTATAACTCACTATGGAATATTGATTTCTCTTCCAATGGTTTGTCATCATCCACTTTGCCTTTCTTCTGTCGTTTAGCAACAATCTCTTGTAGCTCTTTAGCTTCATCACCCTCTGGCCTCATTACTCTGAAATGTAATAAAAAAATAAAACCGATAATTTTACATGTTCTGTAAAAATGAGTCAGGTGCTTGTAAAATACCAATGCAAAGCCTTCTTGCACAATGCGGGACTGGTACTCATTTTGGCGCGGATTTGGTATATGCGCCCACACCATTATGCCCATATTTTTAGCATAGTAAAGAAATATTTTTAATTTTTTTTTTCATAATATTTATATATGTCATAATTTTATCATGGTGATGATAATATAGTATCAGTGAAGTGTTGAAATTGTTCCAGGTCGGTGTGTGATGTGTATTTGGAATTGTATGCATGTAAATGGAAAGGAAAATAACCTAATGAGAGGGGATATTTCAAAATATATGATGGGATTCAATTATCAGCAATAATAAGGGTATTTCAATAAAATTTTACTAGGGTCGGCTATAGATGACAAATAAAACTGGACCAATAGGTCACTTAGCCACAATTCTTTCCATTATTTAGTAAGTTATATAGATCACTGTGGCAGGCTAAAGGTTGTTGATGAAGGACTAAAAAAAATGTTTATAACCTTTGTTCACCCTCATATCCTCCCCAAGGTCCAAGGAATCCATTTATATCTTCAGGGTTATCATTCTTGGTCCTCTTCTTTTTGTCAAGCGGTCTCTTCTTTATGGTCTCAAACACTGACTTGCCTAATGCCTCTTCTGGTGGTGCAATCATTGCTGACACTGTAAACATGTAAATGAAATAGTATATCAATTATCAAGTATTTTTATTTAATTTTCTTATTACATAATTCATATAGAAATACCTACATAGTGCCTGTCACAAATGGGTGGGTAAAACTGAAGTAAAAAATATATTGTTGTATTTATTTTGACTTTATACTTTAACTTTGATAATTCAACCATTTTTGATATGTAATCACAACATTAGTAACTTCAGATACCAGAAATCACTAGTTTTCTTGAGCTGCATCCTAATCCTTGAAGGTTTTATATTAATTCTTGTATTATATACAGACAATTGATAGCAATCAACTTTCTCATATCAATATTGTGACAACTTCAGACTTATATATACACTGCCTTTCACCCCACTTTGGATGAGAGAAGACATTAGGTGGTTCTAGAACAACAAACACTAAGAGTTAACCTAAGTATAAAAATTGTACTATACTTACCAACTATAGCATCTCCAGTGGCTTCACTATCCGTAGAAGGGTCTACAGCATGTCCATAACTAGTAAATGTTCGCCTTTGATTTTCAAACTGAAAATCACTTATATGCGCCTTTTCTACATAACCCGACAAAATATTTCTATTTGCTTTCATCTGTTGCGTTTGAAATGGATTCTCAGGACCATATGTAGGTGCAAAAAGTTCTTCATACTTAGGATTGTGCATTAATTCTTGATTATTTGGTAACAAAACTCTTGTGTCGTCGCTGTTCTGTAATGGAATACCAAAAGATACTTATTTGATTAAACATTGTTTTAAGATTTTTTGTCAACCAAGGAATGTGAACTTTAACCACAGCAGTTGTGTAATGAAGAATAAAATTAGGAGAAACTTAAAACTAATACTAATTAATCACAGATCATCTTTAAACAGTACTAGGAACTAATCATGATAATGACAGCTTGACTCACGTCTACGAAATATACTCTCAACTATTGAACTTATTCCAAAATGCACATAATATTAAATGATATTTGAAACGTACCGTAGGCATAACGACGGGTGCAGCACATATTTGCATTGATTTAGCCACGGAAAAGTTAGTATCAACGGGTTTTAAGTGTGACAATAACTTTTCATTACTCTCTCCTTTTAAAGTTTCTGTCTCATTGTCGTCTTCTTCCTCCGAACTGCTACCGTAGTTTTGTATGTTTAACATTTTGTTCAATGCCTAATTAATTATTATATCAATACATCTAAAATATTTCGTTCATAACAAAAACAATGTGTTTTTGTGAAATTACACGCTTACAACGAAGCATCTTCACGACTTACAACTAATGTCATGAGTGAGAGACAGCGACACAAGATGTGTGCACACCGTTCGCTTAATGTAGAAAAGAGACAAGTGATGTATACATGCCTGTTTTTGCAACTTCTGAAGGTAGAAACGTTAAGCCATGTCGTGTCAGAATAACAGCAAAAAATTCGTTTAGAAATTTGAAATGAATTTGAAATATCAAAAATTATGTGGAAAAGCACTTTGGTAATATGTAATAGGTGTATGTTTGTTATAATTATAAATAATTGTTGAATACATAAATTGACTTTAACTTGAATAAAAAGATTAAGTCATATTTCGGGGAAAATTGTAACTGTATTATTTTTTATTTGAAGATAGCAACTTTCAGAACAAAAATTGGTGAAACTGACGAGAATGCAATCTATTTCTTTTTTAAACGGTTTTATTTATTTTATATGGAAACTATTTGGTTTTTGACATTATACTTTCAGGAGTGCCAACCGAAAGCGGATAAAAATCTATTCAAGTCAGGTGACGAGCCCTTGTGACAGTTCAATATTTCTCAAAAGTAAAATAAAAATCAAGAAAAACATTAAACATGGCTCTGAGCATGGCAGTTAAGGGTAAATTGATCAGCGTCATTGGAGACGAGGTAAGAATTGGTATATTATGACCTAACAAAGGTAGAATCTGATTGGCCCTATGATCTGTAACTCTTCAAGTTTTTCAGCAATTAGTGCAACTATCGTTTAAGAAGCACGTATAATCTCATTCCAGGATACCTGCGTTGGTTTCCTGCTGGGTGGGATTGGTGAGATCAACAAAAACAGACACCCAAACTTCATGGTTGTTGACAAAAGTAAGTCTCAATTATTTTTTCTTTGTACCAGAAAAAGGTGTATCCTAAGTAGAATTATCTAAGGACGATGCATAAAAACCCAATACATTTTCTATAATTTATAGAATTCAGGCTCACAAGGAGACCATTACATATTTACAAAGAATGGAAATTGCAATGGTTGATATTTAAAAAGCCCTATTTTTCTTTTCATCTATTACTGTCCGGTTGATAAATTCCAACTTTTGCCGATTCAAAAGTATCTCACAAGCATTACTTTGCCCATTTGGTAAGCAAAATTTAATACAATTTGTTTTCTTTCAATAAGTTATTAATGTTGAACCATTAATCAACTTGACGAATAGAACTATTTACTAAGCCAAAAACAGCAGTTCGTCAACTTATTTAAATAATTAATGATGATCTGTAAAAAGCACCATACCTGGTTCAATTTATAATAGAAATGGCAAGTCATTAATATAGACTAAAAAGAAAAATGGACCCAATATCGAAACCTGTGGTACACCCATTTTCATCCAACAGCCCTGTGATGTACATGAAATTTTAGTTGCTGATCACAGACAAAGCGCAATGTGTCTGATTCCATAATTATCTAATTTTATCAAAAGTTTCATGATCAATGCAATCAAACGCTTTTGAGAGGTCACAAAAGACATCAGCATTCTGTGCTCAATCCCAGTCATCAAATATTTCCTTCATTAAAGTGACACCAGTGGTAGTTGTGCAACAACCTTTAGTGAAACCACATTGTTGTTGAAGTTTATCAAAATAATGAAGCAGTGGATTGGCATTAACTTTTTAAGCATTTAGCTTAGAACCGGCAGATCAGATACTGGTATGTATATTTCATGCTATAAAGTCCAAAAAGTTTGTTTCTACTTTAACAGGTGCCTATGGTTGACCAGTTGCTAAATTGAAATTAATACTCCAAAAAATGGGCTATTGGTTCTTGCTGGGTTTCAAACCAAACCAAATTACCCTATGTTACAATATATGGTGGAAAGTCTTCATGACATTTTCAAAAACCTGGTTGTATTGAATATCATATTGATTTGATAAATTCAAAATGCAAATATTACAACCACCTAATGTGAAAATTATCAAATAAGAGATAGATTTTTACTAATAAATCATCCGCTATCAATAAAATCAAAACAAAATGTTTATAAATATTTTCCAAAACAAAGAAATGATATGAATTGATCTAAACAACATTGCACTCTTTTCTTTGTTAATTTATTTCCAAGTCATGGAAAATTTAAATTTTCTGTTGATGGGTCGGATTGGGGTTGGTCGGCAAACGAGCATGCGGATTACCTGACAGTAAGCAATCGGCGCCGCCCATTGATACCCGCAACAGTGACGGAGTTACGAGATTGGTGAGGGATGGAGGAAGGGGAAGGATTTGTCCTGCGGAAACCTCACTCACACGGCAAAACAAAATGCTGTGGTTGTTACACGCCGGTTCTTTTATGCGTTCGTGCAGAAGCTTCGATTTTCCACATTACAAAAATATTATTTTGATTAACATAAAGATGCTTATTTACTATTTTATTAAATTGAATATTAGCAAATAAAAGAAAAACATTATTTCATAAATCCTAAGTTCTGTCCAACTAATTTTCTGCAATCCAGATTTTAGTACTTTAATACAAAATTAAAATTTTACAGACACCCCAGTGAGCGAAATTGAAGAATGCTTCAGACGGTTTATAAAGCGTGATGACATTGACATCATCTTGATCAACCAGAACATCGCTGAGATGATCCGACATGTGATTGACAGTCACTCTGCTCCAGTGCCAGCAGTACTTGAGATCCCATCGAAGGACCATCCCTATGATGCTAGCAAGGACTCCATCCTGCGTCGTGCTAAGGTAAACAAACTTGACTAATTACGTTATTCATTTAAAGCTTATAGTAATTTGTCAGAATAAAGGTCACAGGTTGTTAGAGCTACCCGTACCCACCCTGCACCGCCTCGTCGCTCGGCGAAATTATCACCAATAAAAGTCAACTAGTAGACCTCAAGTGGTCGAAGAGTGGTCAAAGAGTAGACTCCACGTGTCTCACGAATTTTTTAGTAGACTGTTAATAATTAGAATTACTTAGCAACGCCCAGTCAACGCAAGGCAACATTCGATCAGCAAGTGGTCACCGAGTAATCCAGCCACTATGCGCACGTGAAGGACTTAAAGCCGAGGCGATCCGGTGACGCTACGGAGTTAAAGTAGTGAGTGCATCCCCATACAAGACCATATAAGAAAAACTAGCCGCAGCAGGGCGACTTGGTGCAGAGTGGGTGCAGGGTGACCCTAATGATCTGTGACTTTTACATGCTATTTATAGTATTAAGGGCGATTCACTCGTTAGAAATATACTGTACCTAATTATTTCTTTCTTTATTCCAGGGCATGTTCAACCCAGACGACTTGGTACGCTAAAACTAATTTATTGCATGATATTGTTGTCTGCGCATCAGACGGCCCCTGTATATAAGCCAGCTGTGTACCAACGTTACAAACTAACAATAAGTGTGACCATCCATCCATCAAAATGACGTGCATTCATTTGACAGCTTTGACTTAACATTTTGACTAGGCGCCAAAATTTTCAACATATAAATTATAAAAAAACACAAATGGCGCGAAAAATCTTTTGAACTGTCATTTACTTTGTCAGTTGTCGAGTGTTTGCATGTCTACAGTTTTCAGTGTGCAATTTTTATTTAAACTAAAGCAGTTAACTATAACATTCCACATCCCAGAAACATTTATTTTAACTGTTAAAGCGAATGATCCCTTTATTTAATGTGATAATGATAAAATTATTCAATTAATTATGTAAGGTTGGAAGTTCAGTAAAGTGGCTCGCGCCATTATCAAAATGTTCGTGTCAACATAAAAAATATATCTGTTTAATTTTAACTTAATTGTGGTCGGCACAAAATATTATATAATTTATTTTAATTAATGCGACTTTAGTGTGTTTCCAGCCTAAATTTACAGAGTATTAATCAATCATGTATAGAATTGTTGAACTTGTATTATAGAATATAAAATACCAGTTTGTTGTTTTATTTACTTTTGAGTTTTTAGTTTAGTTTTGAGTGCTATGCTGCTTATCTAACAACAAACGAATGGTTTTGAATGATCATATTTTCGGCTAAGGTTTGAGCTTGCCAAATAAGAATAAGTTAATTTTATTGGTAAATATTGAGATTTCATTTACGAAATAAATATATAATTATTATCCTTCTCCAATGATTGCTGTTCCTGCTTTGACAACACATCATACCCTGATCTGGAACAACAATTTATTGAGTTGAAAAATCGGGTCATTCCCGTTCGTCCAGTGTGGACGACTGGGAATATTGCGTTGTCTATACTGTGAACTAACAGAACGCATTATTCCCAGCTATCCACACCCCGTCATTTCACGTTACTCGCCTTTACGAAGATAAAGGTAATAAAGAAAATATGGTGATAGTACTTCCTTACATATGTAGAAAACATGTTTATTGTATTCCCGGAAGCATCGTCTAAATTAATAAAAGAACATATTTGTTGGAGGTTCAATAGGATACAGTTACTATAATAGTTGCGTTTCTCCAGGCATTATAACTTTTTTTAAATGTGAAACATGCATATGCATGTAGTGTAAAATACGTACCAAAACAAGGTTTAGATTTACTATAAGGTATGCACTTTAAAAGTATTTGCCTTACTAAAGTAATAAGGCTAAGTACATAATATGTTAAATGTATGTTCATTATACTTAAAAGGAAATACCATCATCATATTTTCTTTATTAAATCTTAGTAAACTTGAGTACCTACCTAACGTGAGATGGCGGGGTGTAAACGACATGGAATAGTCCACAGTCTAGACGAACAGAACGCAACATTCCGAGTCGTTAACAATGTGGACGAACGGTAGACACCTAATGACCCCAGAAATCGAACTTGCAACATGTTGCAAAACAACTGGTGCCAACCTTTCAGTGACAAATAGTAAATGTAAATTCGTGTAAAAAAAGACAAAGCTCAAATCGTTGACCAAAATTTTGCGTTTACCATAAATATAGATAAACCATTTATGTGTATGTTATTTGAGCGGCATAAAATTACATTACCATCCAAATTGTAACATGAGCATGTTCTGAAGATGCGACGAGTTTGTTGTGGCCCTTGGCATTATGCGTGCATTCCAGCTTCAGGACCATAGACTAGATGCGTTGTTTGTGGAAAGGAATCGTTGTATTCATTCCTGTGCATATTGAAAAAAAGTGTGGATCATCATCATTGTCTATGATGTATAAACTGTTGTTTTACTAATGGTTACCTACCTACATTTTTGAGTTGTTTGGTGTGTTGTGTTGGTATATCTGAGTGAGTACTTTTTAATGAAATATTTTTAAAGTAGAATATTCTATAGGTACAGTATGAAATGTTAATACGATATTTTTTATTTTACAGTCAACGTTTGGAGCTGATAACTTCTCAAATTAATTACTGAATATTACTATTCCATGTTCTATTGTTATTATTGACCCCCTATATATTTATATAGTACGTATATTTTTTAATAAAACTAAAAAAATATGTTTAATTTTTTTATTTAAAAGATTATTAACAAACTTACACTATAATACTCTATTCACACAAATATACAATATAATACAGTGCACACAACCATATGATTATAAAAATACAAAATGGTAACAAATTGGTTGCTTATTTGGTATCAAAAATGAGCTATATACCCGTAATGAAGGTTTGGGTGATTGGTTATTGGTTAGTGTTGTTACAGGTCGTTAAATCTTTGGTGATTTATTCGTCGAACTCAGCAACGTCATTCTCGGCCTTCTTGTGGCCAACCCAGTCCCATTTGGAGTAGTGGAGCTTGGTCTTCTTGAACTTGGGGTTCTTGGAAGTGATACGAACGAATATGCGCCGGCCGAACAGGGGTTGCAGCTGTCTGAAGTTGTCAACGAGGGGCAGGTTCAGGTTGGACAGGAGACCGCGGAAGTTGTCCATCTGTAATGGCAGAGGCAATTAAAATTAAGATCATGCTGGGCTAATATGTTTGAGTACGAATTAAGTACACTTCGAAATGTCTATTTATGAAACTCTCTGTGGATTATTCAATAATTACTATGACGATTTGACTAATAAGTAAATAATAAGTACTTACCTGGAAAACGGAGATTGGAAGGTAGTCAGAGAAGACGACCCATGTGACGGCTTCGGCGCAAGGGGGGGTGGTCAGGGATCCCTTGTAGGTGTAGAAACGTTCGGTATCCAATCCAGAGAGGATGGAAGACAGGGAGAAGGTGTGGGGCAGTTGCATGGAGGTGTTGTAGTTCTCAATGGCTGACAGGTTCTTGACGATAGGAGTCAGGAGCTTGGCGTCGAATTCTACAACCTGCAACAGATGGGAGTAATGTAAATTGTCCTTGAGGTCTTTTTGACACTGTTCAACCATGTTGATGGTGGAAAGAACTGAGTAACTGAATAGTCTTCTGTTTTTTGGCTCAAGTTGGCTGCTTCAGAAAATGGGATAGCCATGGTGTATGGAATGATCCGTAAAGCTGGATATCCGAGGTCGGTGGTGTTAGACGTAGGTACTATTGGAGAAACCAATGGCCAGCAGTGGTTCAGACAAGGTTGATAATGAACAAATTGAATGCTACGTACTTGGTAGAAGAACGCAAGCACGCAAAGACCATCAGGGTGCTGCAGGGCTTCAGCGAGGTTCCTATACTTCTTATTCCTGTGGATGATATGCATTTCCAAAGGCAATCGCATATCGTTAAGAGTATGTTCGGAACCTCGGTTGTTCTTGTCTCCCCAGTGGAAGTGCAGGCCTTCAATCTCGTACTCATTGTCCAAGGGGCCTCCGAAGATGAAGGGAAGACGGAATCCTTTCTTTTCTTCTTCAGAACTGTACTTGGGAATGGTGAGGGCGACTGAAAATGCATGACGAATTAGAAAGATGTACATTTTATGGCTAAATTCAAAATGATCTTGAATATCTATTGGTCTTACCTGAATGTCCGTTGTTGGTGATCGTAAGAGGACCAGGCAGAGGGTTCTGGTAGCCGATCAATTCCATGGCGGGGATTGAGATGGGGATAGCCTGGCGAGCAGCAATGGCGATGGGGGATTGTTGCCGACCTCCACAGGCGGGGTGGAGAACGGCCCAGCGCCTCTGGTCAGAGGCTCTGTAACCCCAACCGAGGACTAGGGAAGCTGCAAAAAATACAAACCGTTGGTTAGGTACATAATGTGATACCAATAAGCACCTTTAGGTGTATGTCCCTACGACATTTTAGGAACCCGTCTTTTTCCCTTATGCCAAATCCAGTTATTTTGAATTCGCCATAATTAATCACGTGTTTATTTAAAGTTCAATAACCCGATGTAATTGTTCGCATCGTAATATTTTATATTCATACAAATGATTTGTTTTCAAAACATTTTGAAATAATAGGTAGGTAAGTAATAAGTATATAACAATAATCATCGGATCATCTCGTAGGATGTTTTGGTAATACAACATTGTTACCTCAATATCAATAAACATGTATCAATAAAAATCAATAATATTTTCAATACTGTGATTATTCATTCATATTATTAAATGATTCAAGGAGTTCATGTTCACTGTTATTGTTTGCGATGACATGGTATCTACATGCCACCGAAAATGAGTTAAGTTATTCAATCTGTATCAAAGTGATTAACTATTTTCTCATGTTAACGCCCCGACAATTGGTCATTTAATGCAAACATACATCGGTCGTTAGAAGCCATAAAATCAAACGCAATGAGGTTACAAATCACCGAATTATAAATGTAAAAGTCGTCAATAAATTTAAACTTGGAATACGAGTCACTCATTATTCTATCTGCGAAGCGGGAGTATCCTTTTCGGTTGTGACAATCATAAATTTTTTGTACAACAAGAATGTCGAATTATGCTAAACAAGTAACACATTAATTATTTGGGAATGTAAATTTTTAGGGGTTTATGTGTAAGTATCTAACAATATGAATGGTAGAAAGTTTTTAAACCCTTCATAAAGTCTTTATTTGTTACCCCCTAGAATCAGGAAAAGTGAATAGTAGGTATATCTTATTAATAAAAATATCAATATGAAAAATGGAAAACAAATGAAAAGAGGCATGCAATATAATATTTTATCCACAGCTAGAAACCTTTAAAATGTGAGTCTGTTTAGTAATCCAGTTGCGATTCATTTATGCATATCTAGATTTAAAGCACTGTCAATCAAACTGATTATTTAAATATCCTAGGATTAGACCAGTTTTTCATTACATATATTAAAACTGATAATTAGTAGATACTAGTCTGTACAAGGCATGTATGCAATGAATCAATGTATTTTGATTCAGAAATATCGTATTGCAAATTTGAAATTAAAAGTGTATACCAATAAAAAGTGACAGGCGTGCTTGTAATAAATTTGCATGCGTTATTAGGTCATTTGGCTATATAAAAATATAGCTTAGATGCCCATGTATATCTGGATGAAGGATAAAGACTAGCAAAGCAATATATTATAGCTTATTGCTTGAATGCAAAAGGGATGAAAGTAAAAATATCATGCAGTTGAGATTATTATTTCATTTACCCTTTCCTGACGTCGGTGTAGTACCTTAAAATAGAAAATTCTTCGTACATTGAAAACCTCGTAGTTTGGGAACCGGGGACAGCTGTTGATATTTTCTGTTTTATCTCCAAACACATAGCTAAGTATTAGCCGTATTTTTTTTTTAATAGCGAGATTAAACTACGCTCAAATTTACAAAACAAAAATCCTTGTCGCATGAAGAATTTATCTTTTAGATAAATTCGTGACTAGTGGGCCGAATTCTTTTGTCGATCCATAGCATTGCATGTTAGTTATCATTTAGTTTACCTACTCACGATGCATTTAGGAGAAAATTTATTTGTCAAATACTACCGACCTCTGTGGGGATTGTATAACTACAATTGAGGTCAAGCTTGCAAATTATATTTGCATACGATGTTGCAATTTTCAGTGATCGATTATTATGATAGAATGTTGGTACTAATGCCTTGAATTGCATTTAGCGCAGCGTTCGAATTTTGAATGCTCATTGCTGTGTATTAATGGCACAGTAGAATATCTACATCTTTCCCAAGTGATCCAGCAGATGTCGTGAGGGTCGTCTAAGGGTTTCTATATTTGAAATTGGACATCAGCGTTCTATGTTAGATCTGAACTTTAAAACTATTTTCTTCAACCTACTTGCTAATCGTGAAGAACATGGCATTTACAGCAAACCCTTTTTGAATTGTATGAAAACCTAGGCAGCTGTAAATGAATACTTAGTGTTCTTTGTTATTATTTTTGGTCATTTACATATAGATAACTAGGTCCAAAATTAATGAATTCGTGCAGACATGAATATGGAAATATCTAGGTGATTGTCACACGATGTTCTAAGTTACGTGTTCTATTAGCCGAGGTGTCCTTCGCGTTGTTGCTTTTTAAGTTCGAATTGCGTGCTAAAATGCCATAGCATGGGTTTGGCTACTTATCTATTCCAGATCGGACAACCTTCCTTAGTTTCACGTGAATAAAATGAATTACTACAACAGGATCACCGATTGAACTTTTTAGCTAATTGTTTTGCTTTGTTCTGTTCGCTATATTTTGGCATCTTTTTTTCTAAACCTACCTCTATATACCTAAACAGGAGATTTTTAATCCATATCAGGTCGATTGGTACTGTAATAGATTAGTGAAAGGACTGAATTTAAACTCGAATATTTTTAAATTATTGTTTAACTTTAAGTGTCAATAATTGTATAATTATTAAATATTATCAGTGAGCTTTTCCTTAAATGTATGACGATACAGCTCAAATTGCGATAAAGGTGTTTCAGTACTGTTATGAAATTACAAAATGGAATGTTTGGTAAACAAAGAATTTCATTCAGCATCAACTACAAGAGCTATTGCAACTATGTTGTTGTTTACAGATCCCGAATATGTACTGTTTTTATTTACTTCGGTAAACAAGCCGCATACTTTAAACTACTGCGATAACTTTACATTGGAAATTTGGACTCTATAGCACTTTTGACATGGTTTAATTTGGAGTAGGAATTTATACTAAAGATTTTGTTTGAAATAAGGTCTAGCTTTTTTCTAGATACACGTCTTTTAGTCCTCTGTTTGGTTGGTAGATTAGTTTTTAAATAAGGAATGATCTTTGGCTTAACAAATTCTATAAAATTCTGATTGTATCGTTTTCTTATATGCCCTGTGAATTAGTTACGCGATTATGAGCGAAACTGTATGGAAATTACAACATTAGAACGGTCAATTACGCTTTGAATGGTCTTAAAAATGATGCTAAATGTTACTTAGATATCACATTATCACTTTTTTACTAATTCACTAAGCCATTTCGAATGGAATCAATAAATATAAATAACTTATTATTTTACTCTTACGTTTATATGAGATATTTTTAGACAGGACAGTTTGTAGAGGAAATAATTCGAATTTTGTATTGGATAAGACAATGTTTGGATGGCTGTCGGATATTTTCGCGATCCGGAGCTCGGGAGGAAGACATTGCGTTTTTCGCATGCTTCAGTATAGAACTGATGATTAAGTTTCCGTGCGCTATGTTTTATGATAGCATATAATTATTCGGCCTCACTCCACTTAACTATTATTCTGAATTATGATTCTGATGCTTAAATTATCAGTAAATGGAAGGCAGTTATTAAAGACTGATAAATTAAATTTTCGTAAGACTATACTAGATTGTAAGCATTAGTTTTTATTTTCTTGTTAAAATCCACACCCAACTTACTCTTATGATGGTTTTCTGTGGCACAAAAATTATAATTTTTATGGTTAACAATTCGTTATAGGTACCGTTCACTTTAGTAATCTTGATGTGGAAGAAAAAATAGTAAAACGATATTCAACCTTTTTTTAATTTAAAAATGAAAAATTGAATTAATTAATATTTTTTTCTTTATCGTTAAATGAACGTTCCAATTTTAATTTAACACGTTAATTAAAGAAATGTAAATTTAACTTACCATTTACCGCCAAAATGGCGAAAATCGATGTTAACACAGCAGATCTCATTTTCACTTTTATTTTTTGATATAAAACTAGAGATAATTGAGTGGACACTGCGATGCTTCCTGCCACTCAGCCCGCGGTTTATATACTACACATCCACATCTTGTGCACCGCGTTTTCAATGGCCAAACGCGTCATCGGCGTGAGAATTAACCCTCTAGCGATGACACATCGGCTTCATTAGCCACGCGACTTTTCACTTTATGTTAAACACTTTCCTAATAAAATTTTCTAAGTCTCAAAATTTAATAATTATTTTTTTATACGTAAGTATTATTATAGTGTATATATATTCAGTTTAATGCTACTTAAGTATTGGCTGAGGGTTCTGCGACTAAAATGCTATGTAATTGATTTAAATACCTCACACACTAAACACAAAAGTAATTAAATTATATTATATTATTTTTATTGGGTTTTCACGGTATATTAAAGTACTACATATGCATATTCCCTCGACCTCGCCGATTCGTCTTAGAACATATGAGCATGAAAATTTTCACCAATGATACTTTTGTTTTGTTCCGAATAATCGTGTCGGAACTAGATGAAGAATAATGTGCCAAAAACTCTTCCGCAGTAATTAGTATTTTTAATAATATACAAAAGGCTAAAGGCGTATGTATTCGCTGCATAATGTATAGCCGTATCAGTATTCAGAGCGTAAAATATCTGCATTCAATGGGGTTTGATGAACGCAACGATGTTGTTTAGGAGTTTGTTATCGGATTTTAAATTAGGACCTGTCGTATTTCTTCAGTTTATTGAAGGGATTCGTTCATGTGATGAGTGCAGATCGCTTGATTATTCATTTTGTAAACAAGTAATAATTTACTGAGATAATATGACAATAAAACCTTATTTTATAAAACTTATGTGTTCTTTTCTAATGCGTTTAAAATTTTCAATTTAGAATTTGTCAGTAACATTACCTAGTATATTTATTTTCATTTATAGAACCTTCATAGTTGTGACCCAAGTATGTTTTTACATCGACAGTGTCCAAGCAAACTTGCCTAACGTTGCATCGGACATACTTTCAGTATCATTAATTAGGGGGTACTTTCGACCCAATGTACGATTTGTCACGAAGAATAAACGCATTTTCTTTGACAGGGTTAAGCTTGTTCCGCCCAACTGTATTAAACAATAGATGAAAACATAGCGAAGGGATGATGTAAATTATTTTCAATACAGTGGTCATAATAATACCATTGATTAGAATCAAAACAGACATTCGAATGATACATATTTATAAGTCAATTTCAAATCATTCAATAGTCATTTGCCATTTTTTGTATAGTACGAGTGATCGATTTTGCTCTCCCGTCGCCGTAAGAATTTTATATATGTAGGTAGTTAGTAGTTTGTTCTCCTTAAATTTTTACCTTAATTAACAATAGCTGTGAACACTTTGAAGAAAAAAAATAAGTACTATAATATAATTTTGATATCGGTCAAATCGTCAATTTTCTGGTGATTGCATTCATCCGTTGCGATTAAATCCTTTTTTGCCATCCTTCTTTTTATTTTGAAATTTTCTCATGGTTATAGTTACATTATAGCCTAGGCTTTGCTCGGTTTGAAAGTATTCTAATAAGTGGCTGCACGGTTGGTGCGGTGGCTGGGCAACTGGCTGCCGTGCAACGTGTCGCGAGTTCTATTCCCGCACGGAACAACTCTTTTTGTGATCCACAAATTCTTGTTCCAGGTCTGGGTGTCATGTGTCTGTGAAATTGTATGTTTGTTACCGCACCCACGACACAAGAGAAAATCCTAGTGAGGGGAAACGTTTTTGTAACAAGAAAATAATTTAAGTAAAGACATCTAAACAATATTCATTTGGCTCTGGAGCATAATTTTCTCCTACCCTGGGTGAGGCGGGAGAGAGTGATTCTTACTGACTAAAAAGCACCTCGTTTCTTTTCTTACTTCGAACCAGGACCGCGGCACATCATTCATACTTACTAGATTGTCCTGTCTTTACTGCATTTTGTGATCAAAATTTAAACCGGCGGTTTCAAAAATTACCCCCTACATACAAACTTAAAACTGTTAGCTCTTTATTATAATATTAGTATAGAATAGCTAAGTCGTCACAACCACTATATAATCAGAATTAATATGCTATTCTCCTTTTTGAATATTGCTTGTTTGATGAGGAAAAATCCTCGTTACATGTTTTCTTTGAAGCGAGAGAGAGGGAGTCAGAATCTTATAGAAACAATCCCGGCAGTTTTCCTGCTCCAGACTGGGCCGCGATCCACTATTGCGCTTGCACCTTCAACCCCGGCTGAAACCATTCTTTCATTTTGGTTTCTAAAAATCTAACTAATAATAATCGCTATAGAACTAAGAAGCTGTTGTCTTAAAAAAATACAATTTTAATTTTCCTGTTGATATTGTCTATTCTAAATCTAATCGTCCAACCCAGGGCCGATGTTCAGCCGACGTTGCGGGGCAAACGCAGTACGGTACCGCGGCCTCTGCCTAGAGAAGGAGAAAGAATGGGGTGGTTTTTAGTCAGTAATAGTCTGACATTCCATTTTGTTTCACCCTGGTCGAGAAAAAATGATGTTATCGTTTGAAAAAAGGGAATCATCCAACAAATACCCTATTGGGACCCTATACAGCCCCAACCTGATCGAAGATCCAAGTGCATAATGCTACACACCAAGCAATGTTACATGTATCAAAAGTAAAATAAATATTGTCGAATCAAGCCAGGTGCTAAAACTGACCGTGTAATAACATACTCCGTTAAAAATTGTAGCCCTAAAAGTAAACATTATAATATAAGTACAATGTAACAATATAAATGGCATTGTTCGTCATAATATCTATATTTTGATCCAGAGATTGTATAAACAATCGAGGTGTTGAACTGCATTGAAACAAATCAATTCAATGAAAGATAAGTCAAGGGATTGGTGGTTAATTTTCTGGTATATGGTGCAAATGAGCAGAGGGTCTACCACGACGTGGTAAAGCGTCAATAGTCCGGGAGAGAAAAAGGGATGGAATTATACACCTTTTATAGCTCCATCCCTCTGTGGGCCTACTGGTGATAACTAAAGAGTGCAGTCTATTAATGCTCACGTCTCCTGAAGCTCGCAAGTGTGTTACCAGCCCTTTTGGAGGAGAGAGGCAATGGGCATCCGGTAGACTCATTATCATAATAAAGGTAAGTTTGAACAATTGATACGGTTCTTTCTAGATTCCATGTATTGAAGAAAATTGTAAGTGTATTGAATGTCGTGGTATACCGGAGGTTAAGGCGCCCGCTTAGCATGCATGGGTGCGGGCTCGAAACATGGCAAGTACCAATGTGTTTTTTTTTCCGAGTTATATGTGCTTTATATGATTATTTAGACACCATAGACATGCGGTGCGAGAAAATATCGTGAGGAAACCTGGACCTATAATTTTTAATTTCAAGTATGAAATAGCCAACCCGCCTTGAACAACCCTGGTGATTAATCATCAAATCTCCTCCGTGTGAGAAGAGGCATTTGCTCAACAATGGGCACTCATAGGCTAATGACGTGATGTGATATATTATTGTAGGAGGAAATGCTTCCTATTTGGGACGTCTCTGACACGTATTTCGTCGGTAGTCGTAGATTTGTATACATAATATATGCAATCACTAGTCAGAAATGTTGTTGTAGTAATTTTCATTTAATTTATTAAACAGCGCAACGAATAAATAAGCATAGGAAATTGTGTCAGCTCTTGTTAGAATTCCAGTGTCTATGAATCAATGCGAGCACTTCCGACGTTTGGCTATCAAGTTGGATTGGACATAAACGGCATTCAAGCGGCTTCCACCTAACGTAGAATCTGAATGCATCCTACCGGAGTTTGCATTTGAGGATTGTACGGTCCTCGGCACTGTACGCGGCCTCCGTCTGGGCGCTCAATTTGAGGCTGCAGCAGGCTATAAAGCTGATCGCTGGAAATCGCACGATATCCGGGGACGTGAACCTCCTTAACGGATCACCGCCATGGGATCTGGAGGCGAAGAAGCTTGCGCGCGCTTTCAGCAGCACAGCTGGGTGAAACAGCAGTAGTGGACTACTGCGCTAGAGCATGGTGGAAAACCACTTTATTCATCCGGTGTCCTCATTTCATCAAGGAATTATTGCACCCGAGTAATATAAGTAAACCAGGTAAATTGGATCGACTCAAGTGGTCTAAGGGAATTAATACCTACAGAACAAAAAAGTCTCCATTTATCAGACCACTTGTAGTAAACTACTAATGCTAAATCTCTTTTGGAAACAGAGCATTTTGGCAAGAGCTATTCAGCTGTCCGGCATTGCATCGGTCAACTCCAGTTTAAGGTAGGCTTTGTTATAGGAGCAGAGCCTATTGCAATACATCCTGGAGAATTTTTAGGAGGCAAACGAGCAGACGGATGACTTGATGGTAAGTCATCAGCGCCGCTCATGGACATCTGCAACATCAAAGGAACATAGGCGCGGTGCCCGTCTTTTAAGAAGGATTACGTGCGTTTCTTTAGCCGTATTTGATGTTGGTATTATCGTATACTATTTTAGACTAACGAAAAGTCGATGAATAGCTTAACTAAGAGGACTGACCGACAGACTGACACTTTATCTTCAAAATTTTGTTTGACGTTCAAAAGTGCCTGTAAGGTTCTAATTGGAATAAATGATTTTTGATTTTTAACTTTTGACTTTGACTTAGACTCTGTGCTATTACTTGTTTTTTTTTCAGGCCAGTGACAGCTCACTAAATCATCGATCAATTGTTTGCAAACGCGCTTGATCGCTACAAGTACTCGCCTGATGATTCAGTCATTTGGTGAATATAATCGTAAAAGTTAATCAAAAATAAAATGATTGTATCTTTTATATTTATAAAATAATATCGTATTGTGTTTTGAAATTACGTAAGTCACGTATTATAAATGGGTCAGTAAAGAGAGACAGAAGATACATAAGTATGGGTTGATTAGGTCTAGGCACAACTCGCGACTATTTCGTGTCAGCAATTTAGCATTTACTAGCCACTGCCAATGTCAAATGCTGACCAAGCAAGCTGCTT